CTCTCTCTCTCTCTCTCTCTCTCTCTCTCTCTCTCTCTCTCTCTCTCTCTCTCTCTCTCTCTCTACCCCCCTCCCGGCGTTGTAGCAGAAGCTTCGATCGATTGAAGCAATACCGTTGAGCAAAATCGAATCGATCTATCATTACAACATATGGAGAGAGAGAGAGATTGCTTTCTCTCTCTGATTCCATGTATGTAGCCGAAGCTTCGATCGATTCGAGCTGCAGTGGAAATTGACGGAGTACGCGCCACAGCTTCCATGAGTGGCGATGGCGGGATCAGATGCACGCCGACACTCTCTCTCTCTCTCTCTCTCTCTCTCTCTCTCTCTCTCTCTCTCTCTCTCTCTCGAGAAAGATCGTCCAGCTCTTCACAACCTCAGAGAAAAAGAGAGACAAACGTTGTCCAGCATCTTCCCTCTCGGTCCAGCACTGTCGCTCTCCACTCCAATACTTGCCTTCTATCTTCTCACACGCACGGGAACGCACATATACACATCGATGTGTGCAACCTGCGTCCCCGTGTCCACATCTCGAATTTGCTCACTTGCTCCTCATCCTCACCTCCCGGACCCYCCGRCCGTGATGCTGACGTTCTGAAACCGCCATGCCCGCACACAACCGAAACGGGACGGCGCGCTGAAGCAACCAACCACTCGCATCTTTCCCCTCTGCCCCGATATTGCGTCCCGGTACTCTGCGACCTGAAAAAAGAAAACCGAACACAAAACGCCAACCCCTATCCTTCCCCCCCGCCCCAGGGCCGAAAAAACAAAACGAAATTCACGCACGGCCAAAACGACAAACCCCCTGGCGCGGACCGACAAACCCCGACGAAACGACAAATCGGCCTGCTACCATCCGCGCGGGACCGCAGGGACTGCCCCGCCAGCGAACCGGGTCTCACCTGGGACCGTCACGCGAGACCCGCTGTTTGCTTTAGAGTATTAGGGATAACCCTAACAATAAAGCACAAACCAACCAATACCATCGAAAAGAAAACAGTACCGAAAGATCTTTAGCACTAATTAACGCAAATAACCCTAACAATGACGACTGACACCATCGAAAAATAAACACTACCGAAAGATCTACACCACCAGCCCAAGCTACACAAAGAAACGAACGGAATTCTACCCAAGAGTAAGTAAAACGCAAGCCAATTATCCGTCGTAATATACACAAAAACAAAACCAAATAAAGACGAAGAGATCTCAGGGCACACCACGCCCGAAGTAGGAGTTATCAGCAACACAAAGCGACGCAGATCGCATCTTAAAGCCCGTTGTCAGCGACGGTGGGCGATACCGGTCACCGCCAAGCTCTAGTGTAGCTCTCCCGGAAGCCGGTGCTTGTCGATGCACACACGTCTCTCAGCTCCGTATCAAAGTCAGGGGACGAAATCCCTGACAGGTTTCACATACTGATATGTACGGCGCCCAGATCCTGCCCTTCAGACCACCACACATCTCCTCCTTCCTCACGTAGTCTCTCCAGGAATGCTAGCTTACACCAACCGGGACCAGGCTATGGCAGAAGCATGTCAGTGCTTCCTTGAGGCGGTCCCCACCCTGCGCCCTTGCGCTTCTTCTCCCCGTCCACCTCCGTCACCCCGACCATAGGTTCTGGCACCGCGCAGCATCAATCGCAGCTGCCCGTACGCGATCCCCCAAAGCCCAGGCGCTCGCTTGAATAAAAAATTTGCGGGTGCCAGCGCTAACGCTAACGCTCGAGAGCGCTAGCGCTAGCGCCGCCGGCAACAAGAGATCTCTATATTTCTCTCACCTCACATATTTTTGAACTGGAGTAGATTGAAAGGAGAGCTCTTCAGGATTTTGTTTTCCTGCTGAGAAATCAAAATCCTGGGATCCCAGAGTACATCTGTCTTTTCTTTAACAAGCACATTTTGTTTTCCTGATGACCATATGCCGAATTCCTTTGAGCTGCAGATGTCCTCTGGGATTGTCGCGGTCCAGGTCATTGCACTTGGGCAGCCTCCGCGTGTAGGTGCATTCTTACGGCGCCAATGTATTTTGATACGTACTCCTGCTACCCCTTCGGAGGGGGAAAAAACAGAAAAGAAAGAGATTGGCGATAGGCATATGGAGGCATTTGTGTCAAGCTGATGCCGCTTACGGATTCGTACATGGCAGATGCCACGTGGCATCCTTTCTTTCCCGATCAATCAACCAATCAAGTAATCGATCCCATTCGCTCATCATCCCGATCAATCAACCAATCAAGTAATCGATCCCATTCGCTCATCATCAATCAACCAATCAAGTAATCGATCCCATTCTCTCATCATCAATCAACCAATCAAGTCCCATGCGCTCATCATCAATCAACCAATCCGATCAATCAACTAATAAATCAACGCTTAACCTTGTGTTGATTGCAAATGTATGATGATAATCATCCTTTGACAATATGGCAAGCCAGCAGCATGTAATGGACGAATGATCCTTACCCATGGCAGAGCCGTTCGTGACTGCAATGCCAGCTGGTCCAATCAATGCAAGGTTATGCGTTGATTAATTGGTCGATTGATCGGATTGGTTGATTGATGATTGTCTGGCGGATGGATTGATTACTTTGATTGATTACTTCGATTGGTGGCTTGATTAATTGTTGATTAATACAGTCTTCCTAGTTGGCACGAAGAAAAATTAAGTGTTGCTTCTTCTCCATCATTCGCCCGAGTTTCATTATCATCCTATCAGCCGAGTGATCGCTCGTCCTTTTCAAAGCAGCAGCAGCGAAGGGAGGAAGAATAGAGCCGACATTTCAGAGAATAGCCATAGTCAGACCAATCGCTAACCATCAATTCTTTGCAAAGTCATCATTGAAAGGAGCACCTGGACTGACATCCTGTCCTGCTGACTGTTGCTCATTGTTGTCAAAAGGAGCAGCAGTGCAGCGAAGGGAGGAAGAGAGAAGTGCTGTTTTTTTTTTTTTTGCTTTTGGTGGGGTGGAAAAGGATTATATCGTGTTCCCCCGTCAATTTCAGGCTATCTTTGTTATCAAATATGAAAAAAAATAATAAAAAAATGACGGCTATCTTTGTTGCTTGGTAGATGGGGGTCCCCATCTTCCCATCTCCCCTCCCCTCCTGCTTGGACGCTAGATTGCAGAATCCTCGTATGGTTTGGTACACGTGGAAGCTCAACAACAGAGGTCTATGACTACCGTTGTCGAGCTTCCACGTGCAAAAGCCTGCTTGGAACTAGAAGTAATAGGCTAGAGAAGGAGAGGGCTATTGGTTCTGCGGTTCTGCGTTGCTGTGATAACGTAGTTTTGAGTATTATGCATCCTTTGCAATGAATTCGATCACCATAAGCT